CCAGAATCAGCATATGGCTGCTTACCCCTACAAGCTGTTGATTATTTTCATTAAAAATTGCCATGGTGACTAGAAGAAGTTCTGTTGGTGGCTCCTTCCCAGGGGCAAGGTGGAGAGCTAGCTTTTATTGGAAGTACCCCACACCTTCCACTGAGGGTGGATAATGAGCAACATGGAGTCAGGAAGAGCAGCAAGCCTGTTTGCCAAGAGATCTGAATTCTAATTCTGCACAATCATAATGATGGCTGGCTTCTGACTTCTGCTTGTCTCATGTAAAACAGTCATAAGCTTATGAAATAGGACTTATTATTCCTGTGGACATGGAGGACATGTGGATGTGGACATGGAGGCTCAGAGAGGTAAGGTGACTTGCCCCAGGTCACACAGCTCAGAGGCAGTGGGTTAGGCCAATCTGACTCTGTCCTGTAAGTTCTTATCTGGGATGTTGAGAGTTGCTGGGTGTGTGAGTGGGTGAGTGACTCAGGCTCCCCACCCCACGGTGAGTCATACTTGGTTGTGTAGGGAGGAGGAAAAGGAGGAGGGAGGCTATGCCAGCCAACTCCTGCAACATCTGCCCACAAACCCAGCACCACAGAATAGCAACTGAGGCTGGGAGGAGGAAGGGGTGAGTCCCCCATTACTGCTAATCATTCTCCTTGACAACCCCTCTTGACTGCCTCAGCCCTGAGCCCCAACTGTGGCCTAACTCAGGAGAGACAGGAGTCCCCTAGGAGAGCCCAGAAGGGACTGAGTAAGAATGGGAAGCAGACACTCAATCTAGACTCTCACTCTGAAAGTGTGAAAATCCTTGGCTCTGACTCAATAAAAGTTAAATTAGCACTTTTAACTCTCCAGATCTCTTCCCTGGCATTATTTCATTTTCCCCTGAAATAACCTTCAGGCATTGTACATTTATTTCATATGCTTTTCTGTTTGTATATTATATTTCAAACATAAAAAAGGTAAAAGAATGCATATCTACAATTCAAGTGGGGTGGCTGGTATTATTCCCTTTTTATAGATGGAGAAATAGAGGCACATAAGTTAATAACTTGACTAAACAGAGTTGCCGCATCCAATTTTGCAGATTTTTCACTGTATAAGGAACATAGCAGAGAGGTAAATAGAGCTGAAATATCATCTATACTAGATAGTCAGGCTGTCCATAGGCTGCATCTACCTGGGAGAAGGGACACCTTTTTCTGTTTTGCAGGAAACAGAAGTCTTTATGCAGCCTAGTGCCTAGGGTGGGAGGTGGGTCAGGGCCATCACTGGGAAGAGAGGCCAGGTCTCCAAACTCTTGCAGCAAGCTCACTTATCATACCCATTGTCCATGCCCTCTGTCCCTATCCACCTTCAGTTATTTTCAGTGTCTGCCTACAACCTTCCCACCCTGTTTTCTAAATTCAATAGCCTTGGGGAGAGAAAGAGAAAAAAATAATGCAAAGGGAGGGCAAGTGGAAGTGAAAACAGAAATGTAATGGGCTTTAGAAAAGCATTAGTGGCTTCTACAGGCAGGGATAGAAAGGTATACAGATAGAGAAAGATGGGATTGTCTCTTCCTGAGGCTCCTCAGGAGGCAGGTGAGTGCTGCTTGCTTCTCTCTGTTGATGCCTTTGGGTTCCTGGCACCCTGCCAGATGCTGCTAAAAAGTCTTATTTTAATGTGTAATTTAGTGATTTCTTTTTACCTCCTTGTTTCCCTGGAGTAGGTTTATTCACTCCATCTTGTTGAACCTTCCTTGGGGTTCCTTCTGATCTGCCTACTGCTTCCTTTGGATTAGAATCTCCCTGGTTTTCACTTCCATTACTTCCAGGCTTCTGACCCCTGGACAGACAACCATACCCCTGGATGGTGGGATTTCCTGTGGACTCAGAGGCTCCAGCATCTGGAAGTGGGCGGGGTTACATCCCTGATGGGTGGACAAGGGAGGATGGTGCTCGCCTTTGCAGCAGACTCTCCCAGCTCAGGTTCATTCACATCTCACATCTGAGTTGTGTGTTCTTACTTCTACCCTCCCAGAATTCATCTCCCTGTCCAGTAGCACCCAGGTTCCTCGGGAAGTTTCCTCTTTCCCAGGGTTTGCTGCCTTAGGGATAGGCCTGTTTCAGGTCCTGTGTCCATTGCAGAAACTGAGGACAGAGCCTTTCTCTCCCCACCCCAGTTTTCTGGGGACTGGCCAATGGAACATGACTTCTTGGGAGTCAGACTCAGAGCAGAGAACACACAGAGAGGGTGACTGTTGTCCTGTGTAGGTTCTTCAGATGTGAGAAGGTGCTGTGCTTCCTGATGCCCATCTCCTGGCATTGTGACACCCTCTCGTTTCCTGCTTTACCAAGTTCACTGTTGCACGGATTCTACAACTGTCCTGGAATCCTCAACAGATTCTCTGTTTTTGTTGCTCACAGCCAAGAACCCTGTCTTAGTCAGCTTGGGCTACCATAACAAAATACCACAGACAGGGTGGTTTAAACAACACACATTTATTTCTCACAGTTCTGGAGGCTGGGAAGTCCAAGGTCAAGGCGCTGGATGATTCAGTTCTTGGTGAGAGCTCTTCTCTTGGCTTGCAGATGACTGTGTACTTGCTGTGTGTTCACATGATCTCTTCTCTGTAAGCACGTGGAGAGAGAGGTCTCTTGTCTCTTTCTCTTCTTCTAAGGGCGCTAATCCCATCCTGAGGGCTCCAGTCTTGTGACCTAATCTAAATCTAATTATCTCCAAAGACCCCACCTCCTAATACCACCCCATGGTACGGGGGTAGTTAGGGCTTTACCATATGAATTTTGGGAAGACACAAACATTCAGCTCCAAACAGACCAGGACTGATCCAACCCCCAAATTTCTGGACTTCGTATGCTATAGCAGCCCAGTAGTAAACAGTTTCTACCATTTTAATGAAGTCTTAATCTGAGGAAAGGAGGCTGTGAACACAGTTTATGGATAGTGTAACCATTTATCCTGCCCCTGAGTCTCTGCCCAGTGCTTTCCTTACCCCCCACGAAGGGAATACTTCTTTACCCAAAATTGGCTGCCTGAAGGCAACACCTCCCTAGCTCCCACCTTCTTGTTTCTTAAGACAGACACCCACATACTTGTATTATTATGCAAGTATAGGAGGAACTCAGCAGGAGGTAACAACGACAATAAGCTTAAAGAATTTTTATAAGGATTAAAACTCAAATTCTCTTTGATTCTGTGGTATCAGACCCCAGTCTGGGAATTTCCTGACTGTGTTGTCATGGGCATATTACTGAATCAGCCATGTCCCCAGGTTGTCATCTAAAATATGGTATAATATTATCTATATCTTAGTAATTTTGTGATGGTCAAATGACAAAACAAACCTAATGTGCTTTGTATATTTCTTCATATGTAAGTGCTTCAACATGAGCTATTAAATGATTGTTATTAATATTAGATTAATATTTGTAATTTATAGGGTTTTTTCATTTCTCCAGGCTCATGAACTTTGATGATTCAGGAAGGTCCCTTTCTAGCCCTTTGGGCTTCCTTCCTGTGACTCCTGGGAGTAAAATGTTCAAGTCTTCGCCCTTTGGGAACAATTGACCACTTTTGCATTGAGTGCACTCAGCCTGGCCACACACACACGCACACACACACCTCCCCATGTGAATCTGTGTGCCTCTGAGCCCTGCACTGGTAGAGCATGCTGACCTCAGGAGCTGCTCCCTACAGCGTGTGTCTAATCTCTTAGCCTCTCTACCTCTATGGAGAAAGTCCCATCCCTTTTGCTTCAGGCTTCTCTGTGACTTCTTGACTTTTTCATTCACTCTTACTGAAAGTTCTTTAGCTGCCTGCTCCTGCAACCCACCTCCTCCAGGAAATGCTATCTGAGTAGTTGACAGCACAGTGATGATTCTCTCCAGGGATGCAGCCTACTCAGAAGTCCTTCTTGTCTTCACATGCTGGGGAAGAAAGTGCCTCTGAGGACTGTCACTCCTGGGGCCGGCGGGGATACCATCACCTGTCAGAGGGAGAGAGAGGAAGCTCCCTGGCATCCTCCTATTGTAGTGCTGTAGGGTCCTAATGCAAATTCATAGACTCCTAGAACTCAGAATTTCAAGGAACATCAAACAATCACCTACTTTCACTAAAGACAGACTCATATGGTTGTTGAGATCATGTGGACACAACAGGATCACATGGCTGGAGCAAAAAGGTGACCTAGAATTGAGTCTTCCTTCTCCTGATCAGAAGAATTGCTAGGAGAGCCATTCATTACCCCAAGCAAGCCCATTCTCCAGAAACTGTGTGGCTTTCATTCTCTCTCTCTCTCTCTCTCTCTCTCTCTCTCTCTCTCTCTCTCGGTGTGGGGGATAGGGATGGGAGGTATTTCTTGACTTCCTCCCCCACAACCCAGCCCTGCTCACTGACTGCTGAAACTTGGCTCTGCCTCTCCTTGCAGCATGGTGGGTGCCGTTCCCCGCATCCTGGTTCTTCTTTATGAGGCAGGTTATCCTCTCATTGGCATCACTGCTTCCACGATTATAATTGGCCTGAAGATTTTGAGCCTCAGTCTATCTGTTTGATTTCTCATTGAGTCTCACCACATACTTAGGACTTAAATAATTGACTTTAAGTGTACAAATTCACAGATTATAGATGCTATTAGAAGAAGCCAAGCTTTTCTTGTCTTCCTAAATGTAAGGAGAGTACTTATTCAGGACCCAGGATATTACTTGCTGATTTTTCTCCACTTAGAGCATTTACATACAGGTTGAACATTTTTCAGATGTTGAATTTTCATTCTTTTGTGAATTAAAGCAAGATGTTAACTTGGTTTGGGGTCTCTGGTGTGTATAAGGGCCACATTTTAAAGTGTTAACAGACTCTTTAATAAAAGATGAGAGAAAGCAAGTGGCAGTGAAAATCTTCTTCTTCTTCTTCTTTTTTTTTTCCAGTTAAGGAACTTGGAATTCTGAACATTTACATGTAAAATTCAGCTGCAGCGTATCTGGTATAAATAATACATTGAAAATTTTATGTAGTTAAGCATTACAGGAGTCGGACAAGCTCTGTTAAGGATTTGCATTTAATTCTGTTTTTTTTTTTAAATGTGTTAACTAAAAATAAACTAATTTCAGGCATAAAAAGTAACTAAGACAGAGGAGAATTTGCAATAGAAAATGATCTGTTTAATTTAGTGCCTGTATCTTAAACCATTCATGGGATTAATTAACCACTCACAGGGAGAAGGTCACCCTAGGGGTGGGAGGAGGAAGCTGCTCTGAATTACAAGCCAGGACGTTGGTTTTGGCCTTCAGATATGTCCCACCTTACTCCTTCCTGGCTCTTCACAGAGCCAGCTCTCCTTTCATTAAGCAATGCCAGAGAAATGTTCCTGCAGTCAGAGAGACCACAGCTGTGGGCTAAGACAGGAGGTGAGAGGAAAGGAAGAGAATAGGAACATCTGGAGACTCCACTCCCTTTGCATTTGCCTTCACCTTGATTCATCATTTGGGGCTTCTTCTTGGGGTAAGACACTTCTGAGCAGGCATCCAACAGCCTCTTGGTGACCATATTCATCTGCTTGTGCTGCCATAACAAATGCCACAGACTGGGTGACTTATCCAACAAACATTTATTTCTCACAATCCTGGATGCTGTAGGTCCAAGACCTGAGTGTTAGCAGGTGGATGTCTCCTGAGGCCTCTCTCCTTGGCTTGCAAATGGCACCTTCTCACTGTGTCCTTACTTGGCCTTTTCTCTGTGAACACACATTCTTGTATCTCTTCCTTTTCTTATAAAGACACAAATTATATTGAATTAGGGCATCACCTATGATCCCATTTAACTTTAATGACCTCTTTAAAGGCTTTCTCTTCAAATATAGTCCCATTAGGGATTAGGGCTTCAACATATGAATTTTTCAGAGACACAATTCAATCCACTATAGTAATCATAGTCCTATAGGGACTGAGTGTATGTGTGTGTGAGGGGGTGGTGCTCAGAAAGGAGTCCTCCCTTTCCATCTCCCATGTGACTTGAGTGAGTATATTATACAACCTTTCAGGTCTTGGTTTCTTTCTGTAATAAAAGTTGGAATTACAAAGTGATATCTTTGATCTGTCTCAATTCTGGGATTCCAGATGGCCCTTCAGACTTATAGTCACCAGACATCTATATTCATGGGGTTTAGATCCAGATTCATTCCCAGTTACTCTCTAAGCTTATCCAATAATAAATGTATACTCCAGACCCCATGTTGGGCACCAGGGACATATAGCTGACCACAACCCAATCCTTCTCATAAAGAGTCCCCAGACAAATAGAGCAAAGGCTACTATGCATATAGGTGCTGGGTTATAGGAGAGTAAATAGTGCTTCAAGAGGTGTGTCCCCTTTTTAGTGAGATGGCACTCACTCTGTGCCATTTCCTATGCCAAGTGCCCTGTTAGCTTGGCACAGCAGACCAACCATACCATGTGCTCCATACACACTCAATTTCCTTCAGTCACATGATCTCACTATGGAATAGGCACTCTCTTTTCATGCAGGTAAATTTTATATAACATGAAATTCACTATTTTAAGCATTTTTACGTAAGGTATATAGTAGCTTCTAGTACATTCACAATGTTGTGCAACCATCACCTTATCTAATTTGAAATGTTCTTACCACCCCAAAAGAAATCCTGTCACTATCCATTCCTCCTAAAAACCAGTAATCTCTGCTTTCTTTCTCTATGAATTTGCCTATTCTGGACATTTCATATAAGTGCAATCATACAATATGTGGCTCTCAATGTCTGACTTCTTTCACTTAACATAAAGTTTTCCAGGGTCACCCATGTTGTAGCATGTCTGTAATTTTAGCCCTTTCTGTGCCTGAATAATATTCCATCTTGTTGATATACCACATTTTGGTTTACCCATTCATCAATTGATGGACATCTGAGTTGTTTCCATATTTTGGCTATTGTAAATAATGCTGCTATGAACATTCATATACAAGTTTTTGTTTGAAGGCATATTTTTAATTCTCTTGGATTTATGCCTAGGAGTGGAATTTCTGGGTTATACAGTAACTCCATGTTTAATGTTTTGAGTAACCACTATTATTCTCACTTAACAGGTAAAGAAATTGTAGAGCTGGGAATCCCACTAAGAACCTCTCACTCCAGAATTCATGCACCAACCACTTCATGACGCTGCCTTAAAGGTGATGACGGAGCTGGATTCTGAAGGACCAGAAGTTATCTTGGTTGACGGGGCAGGAAATGTGTTCTGGGCATATGTGTTATGCACTAGAAGTATGAGAGAGCTTTTTGCATTTACACAGCGGGAGGCAGTTGAGGACATCTACAGCATGCATTTTTTTGTGGGATGAATTTCCAGGGAAGAAGCGGAAGGACCAAACCCTAAAGGGTCTTACATACCATGCTCAGAAGTTGAGTGCATAAAGATCTTAAACAAAAGAATAAGTATGAAAATATATATGTATGTAAAGCAAAAATGAAACCCACAAGTCAAATGAAAAGGCAAACACACTGAGAAAAAATATTTGCAAACCATATGACATTGGGTTAATAGCTTTGTTATATAAAGAACTCTTAAAACTGATTACGAAAACATTTAAACTGAACTAGATAAATGGGCAAAGGACATGAACAGATGATTCACAAAATAAGAAATGCAAAGCAGTAAATAAACATATGGAAAAATGTGCAACTTCCTGTATAATCAAAGACATGCAAATTTAAACAACAGTAAGAGAACCATTCTTTGCCTATCGGATTAGTAAATGTTTGTCAAAATGGTAATAGCTGATTCTGGCAAGAATGAGCTGCAAAAGGAATCCCTGCACATAAGTATGTTCGAATCCCGGATGCCAAATGTTCCTTTCCCTATAATTCTGTAATTCCAGTTCTGGTAATCAATTCTCTCTGAGGCTACATTTATATACTGTTTGCAATAAAGAAAAAAATTGGAAACAAGGAGACAGAAGGTACAGGTGACCAAAGTTTAGAACATCACTTCTGTGTGGACACCAGAAACATTTTTCTAGCCCTGACTTCTTTTTTGAGTTCCAGAACTACCCCAAGCTGAACTCTTTATTGTTTTCTCCAAATCTGGTTTGCCACACTCATTTTCATGTTTCATTAATGGTATCACAGGCTATATTGTAATCCAAGCCAAACCTTAGAAATTATCCTTTCTTCCTTGCTATGGTCTAGATATTTGTGTCCTTTACCACCCCCACACCACAAATTCATATGTTAAAAACCCTAACTCCCACAGATTGACAGTATTAGGAGATGGGGCCTTTGGAAGTGTTTAAATATAGCGTAGAGCCCTCATGAATGGGATTGGGGCCTTATGAAAGAGACCCCATAGAAATCCCTAGTCCCTTATCCATTTTGAGTTTATTTTTGTGAATGGTGTGAGAAAGTGATCTAGTTTCAACCTTCTGCATGTTGCTGTCCAGTTCTCCCAGCACCATTTGTTAAAGAGACTGTCTTTTTTCCATTGGATGTTCTTTCCTGCTTTGTCAAAGATGAGTTGGCCATACGTTTGTGGGTCTAGTTCTGGGGTTTCGATTCTATTCCATTGGTCTATGTGTCTGTTTTTGTGCCAATACCATGCTGTCTTGATGATGACAGCTTTGTAGTAGAGGCTAAAGTCTGGGATTGTGATGCCTCCTGCTTTGGTCTTCTTCTTCAAAATTACTTTGGCTATTCGGGGCCTTTTGTGGTTCCATATGAATTTTAGGATTGCTTGTTCTAGTTTCGAGAAGAATGCTGGTGCAATTTTGATTGGGATTGCATTGAATGTGTAGATAGTATTGACATTTTGACAATATTTATTCTTCCAATCCATGAGCAGGGAATGTCTTTCCATTTCTTTAAATCTTCTTCAATTACCTTCATAAGCTTTCTATAGTTTTCAGCATACAGATCCTTTACATCTTTGGTTAGATTTATTCCTAGGTATTTTATGCTTCTTGGTGCAATTGTGAATGGGATCAGTTTCCTTATTTGTCTTTCTGTTACTTCATTGTTAGTGTATAAGAATGCAACTGATTTCTGTACATTGATTTTGTATCCTGCAACTTTGCTGAATTCATGTATCAGTTCTAGCAGACTACGTGGCAATGAGAAAAAATGAAATATGGCCTTTTGTAGCAACGTGGATGGAATTGGAGAGTGTGATGCTAAGTGAAATAAGCCATACAGAGAAAGACAGATACCATATGGTTTCACTCTTATGTGGATCCTGAGAAACTTAACAGGAACCCAGGGGGGAGGGGAAGGAGAAAAAAAAAAAAAAAAGAGGTTAGAGTGGGAGAGAGCCAAAGCATAAGTGACTGTTGAGAACTGAGAGCAAACTGAGGGTTGATGGGGGGTGGGAGGGAGGAGAGGGTGGGTGATGGGTATTGAGGAGGGCATCTTTTGGGATGAGCACTGGGTGTTGTATGGAAACCAATTTGACAATAAATTTCATATATAAAAAAAAAAAAAAAGAAATCCCTAGTCCCTTCCACCATGTGAGGACAAGGACAAGGACAAGGTGAGACCGCTTTGTTTATGAACCAGAAAGTGGGCGGTTACCAAACACCAAATCTGGTGGCACAACCATCTTGGGCTTCCAGCCTCCAGACTGTGAGAAATAAATTCTGTTGTTTATAAGTCATGTAGTCTGTGGTATTCTGTTATAGGAGCCTGAAAGGACCCAGACAACCCTTTTCTCCATTTATTCTATTCACCTCAAATTTTGTCAGTTCCACCTCAGGAGGCTTCTTTGTGTTTTTTTTGTTGTTGTTGTTCTATTTTATTTTATTTTATTTTATTTTATTTTATTATTTTATTTTATTTTATTTTATTTTATTTTTTATATGTTATTTTATTTTCTTCCCAGTATAGCTAACATACAGTGTTATATTAGTTTCAGGTGTATAATATAGGCACTTTTTGAATCCGTTCTCTCATCTTCTATATAGTTGCCATTGTCTTAAACTACCCCTTATATTTTCACCCTGAATTGTTCCAAGTCTCCTATCACAGGCCATTCACCTGGAGGCTGCTGAGTAAGAGAGGAGGGCCATATTGAGGGGAGAGCTATAAGTGAGGCTCCAACAGGGTCTCTGAGTTTCTTCTTTTTTCTTTTTAGAAGACCTGAAACAAATATCTTAAAAAGTTGAGGTTTGTTGAATCTGGTATGGATAAGATGTTCATTACATTCTCTATTTTTTTTTTTTTTTGTATTTTGAGTATTTAGTAATAAAATTGTGACGTCTCTTTTCTGATCTCCTTTTGCAAGTTCCCCTTCATTCATATCCCTACTTCACAATTCCACTAAATATCTTGAGAATAAAAAATCAAATTTTGTCATTCTCTACCTGAAAACCTCCATTACATTAGTTTCATATTTCTTACAGAATAAAATCTGAATTTATTAGCTTGACACAACAGACACTCCACACCCTATGCCCAAGCCATGCTAAATTTTATAGGTCCCAAACCCTAACCTAAATGACTCTAGACCCTACTCATACCTCTGTACATGCCCTGCTTCACATGTCCACCTCCATCTCTCCATCTGGAAGACCTCAACTCACTTTTCAAAACCAAGATTCCGCATCTGTTTCAGAGGAAAGCTTTCTCTGAGCAGAAGTTGGTCATTCCTTCTAAAAAAAATTTGTTCATGACACTTATCACTGCTCTTACCACATTGTTCTGAAATCTTTTTTTTCACTGTTTCTTCAACACACTGTGGGCTCTTCATTGAGACGGCTGGTGTCCTCTTTATCTTTGCAAGCCCCAGACTGAGTGTAATGCCAAGAACTTCAGAAACCCTTCGAGTGCTGTTAGAATGGAGGAATGAGGATAAGGAGAGAGCCAACATGCACTAGATCATGAAACCTTTCTCTCCACAAGAGAAACTTGAGAAAGTGAGGATAGAAATGTGTGTAAGAGATGTAGTTTGGATCAGTAATCAGACTACTGTCTGGAAAAGAATCTCATCCAAGGAAAGAAGGCAGGATGGAAATTTCAAATGTTTGAAGGCAATCTGTGAGGACAGACTCCTAGCCCAGACTAACCAGGCATGCTACTGGCCCTCAGTGATATAACAAATGCCCTGGCTTGCAGCCCAGATCTGCACTTTAGGACTAAGCCATTCCCCCAGCTGTTGAAAGTGTGGCAGCCATTGGCTCTAAGTTGAGTCACTCTCTGAGAATTGTCCCCAGCCAAAGAAAGCCCTCCTCCAAGTTCATGCCCCTTCCTGAAGGTATCCCTCATCCACTGACTAGTTAATGAGGTCCAGCCCACTTACCTCGAGACTGAACAATGCTAAAGGGCCCTCCCAGCACCAGAGCTCCACATGGAGCCAGCTGAGGCCTTTTTTGGTATCCACAACAAAGTTCAGCTTCTCTCCTTGCTCATTCCTCCTTCCTTCACTCCTAACAGGTATTCATTCCTAAGACACTGTCTAATAAATACATTTTCAGCATGTAAATCTCCATCTCCAGAGTCAATTTTCCAGAGAAATGATCTAAGACAAATGTTCTTGGGCTTAGAATTCCATCCCAATATTTTCACTAGATTGGAAGATATTTCCTTGGACACAGATGCCAAGATCACCTCCACAGATTCTTGAAGATTCTTTTGTCATTTTTGGAATTTTGTTAGTAGCCCCAAGACCACTGCCAAATAGTCACACCTCCTCACCCATGTCCTGATTGATATTTTTGTAATGATTGTTAAGGTGTCACTTATTTAAAGTCATATTTGTTTTGTCAGACAGAAGTCTGAAATTAAAATAGTTAGTGGTAAACTAGGAGCAGACAGAAAACATTAACATTTTGGTCTCCTCTATTAGCTAACTTTTATTTTTTAAATTTTTATTACTTTTAAATTTTTTATTGATTTACTGATTGATTTAATATAATTTATTGTCAAATTGGCCAACATACAGTGTGTACAGTGTGCTCCTTGTTTTGGGGTAGATTCTCGCGACTCATCACTTACATACAACACCCAGTGCTGATCCCAACAAGTGCCCGCCTCAATGCCCATCACCCATTTTCCCCTCTCTCCCACCGCTCCATCAACCCTCAGTTTGTTCTCTGTATTTAAGAGTCTCTTATGGTTTGCCTTCCTCCCCTCTCTGTTGGTATCTATTTTTTCCCCTTCCCTTCCCCCATGGTTTGCTGTTAAGTGTCTCAAGATCCACATATGAGTGAAAATATATATCTGTCTTTCTCTGACTTATTTCACTTAGCATGATGCCTTCCAGTTCCATCCATGTTGATGCATATGGCATGATTAGCTAACTTTTAAAGGATAACTTAAAAACTTTAAAGAAAAATTCCAACTTTTGGAAGAAAGATGGCTATGGCCAGACATGTTTTTTGTCCTAGTTAGCTGAGTTAGAAGGATGGGAATCCGTTTACTCTAGATCAGTGGAAGTCACTGAGGACAAGGCTGTGGTTGGGAGTGGGGGCCAAAGTATGTTTGGGATTTTTAATTCATGGACCTAGGTGCCAATTGTTTACTTGAGGTAGCAAATGTGGAGTTGGTCAGACATCCAATCATTGTGGTGTTTGCCCCTGAATGTTCCATCCCAACAATGCATTTCCCTTGCTTTGAGTATGTGGATGGCTATGGTGGGGCACTGGAAGGCCGGTAGAAGCTGTGGGAGAGTTCTTGTTAGAAGAACAGTCTCTCTCCTCCTTCCTTCCCTTCAATTTTTTTCTTTATAATTAACATAACTTCCTTTGTCTCTGATCCTTCCTGGGATTCGGTCCTCACTTTTGACCCTCAACTCCAGCAGGGCCTTTTCTCTCTAGCAGTCTATACAGCTTCTGCCTCTTCATCCACATTCCTGTTCATGTTGTGGCAAATTTTCTCCAGGTTCCTCAATTCATTGTTTCATAGAATTGTTTTTTAATATTTGTGAATTCATTTGGCAGGCAGACATTGCAGTTATGGACAAGATTGACTATTAGGAGAAATCCTCCCCCTTCCCACCTCCCCAGGAGCAATTGAGTAGCACACCACACATTAAATCAAATGAGCAGGCATTAGCGTCAGTAGTAAACAATTTACACTGCAGAACTCCTGCCATCTTGCCAAATGCCCTAAGAATTAAATGTGGATTCCAACTCACCTTGCTAATTAATTCAGAACAAGAAGATATCCCAAAAAGCAATACTCTTTCATACTGGTGGAGAGTGACACAGACATTTAAAAATGCTTGGAATATCCACTCTGTCATTTTTAGCTTAAGATTTCTTTGCCAAAGCCTGCTTCCAAAATTTCATCACTTTCTGAGAAAAATAGTGTGTATGGAAGCATGTGGCTGTTATTGCTGCCTCATTCATTTTGAAACCCCCTCACCTAACACAGTTCTGGGCATATTGTAAACACTCAGTTGTTATTATATTGAATTAAATCATAGAGCAGTCCTCTAGTGCAGTAGCCAATTCAGGAATTCACAAGGATAATCAAGATAAATTCCAGTACACCTCCAAGTGTTCACCACTTTAAGCTGCTATAACAGAATACCATAGACTGGGTGGCTTATAAACAATGAGAATGTATTTCTTATAGTTATGGAGGCTGAGAGTCCCAGATCCAGGTGCCAGCACCATCAGGTTCTTGTGAGAGCACTCTTCTGGATTGCAGGCTGCTAACTTCTCACTGTATTCTCACATGGTGGACAACAGAGAGGGAAAGCAAGCAAGCTCTATGGTGACCCTTCTAAGGGCACTAATCCCATTATGAGGGCTCCAACCCCATGACATCATCTAATTCTGATTACCTCCCAAAGGTCCCATTCTTATACTATCTCATTGGGGGTGGGGCTTTCAGCATATAAATTTTGAGGGAACACACTCAGTTTCTAACACTTTAGTGATACCTATATTGTGTGCTTTTGTAACCAACTTTTAAGGACGGAGTTTGCCCAAGGTTAGTAGGTAGGAGGGCTGAGGGATCAGATTTGGAATTCAGTACTGTTTGATTCCAAGGCTTACTGTCTCTCTCTCTCTCTCTCACCATGCTGGAGGATCTGTTTTCAAGGTCTGTCCTTGGCAATTTTGTTTGGTCTCAGGTGCACATGTGTTTTTGCCTTTTGAAAGACTTCTCCCTGCATTCAGAACCTCAGACATCCAGTGCTTTCACCCCTCCTGGACTGCAATGGGAATGGGAAAAGGAATATGATCAATAGATTCCAATCAAGATGCTAACACCCATCAAGGATGTTTGTGTGATTTAAGTCACTGAAATATGTTCACTCAACAGCACAAGTGTCATTCCCCATCTTAAAACCTCCCAATTGGCCTCCCATTGCATATGGAATACACTTCAACTCTACACCATGGCCTACAAGGGTCTACATGATCTGGCTTCTGCCAGCCTCCCTGGTTCCAACTCATCCCACTGTCTCCTTACTGTGAGGTTACTAACCTGATTCCCTGAAAACACTGGACTCATTCACAACTCAAAGCCTCACATCCACCATTCCTACTGCTTGGAATGCTTTTCCCTTGGATATTTTCCATGGCTGCCTCCTTCCCATTTTTTTCAGGTCTACTTTGAGAAGTCTTCTTTTATCACCTAACTCCAAACTGTCTTCCATTCCAAGCCATTCTCTATTTGCTGATCTTCTTTTCATTTATTTATAACATTTATCATTATCTTGTTATTTGTGTGCTACCTGTCAACTCCCACTAGGATGTAAAACTCTCTGATTGCAGGGACCTTATCTTTCTTCTTCACTGCTGGTATCTCTCATGCCCAGAACACTGCCTGGCACATAGTAGGTGCTCATTAAACATCTTTGAAATGAATGAACATCTTCAAAAGTGAAGTCCATATCTTTGTAGAAGCAGGAAAATGGAGGAGAAGTTTGGAAGTCAGAGAATATCTCTGAAGGGAGCCCATCACCTCTCCCTCATCTTTAGATGTGCAGACCCTTTCTTAGCTCTGGTACCAGACGCGTTGCCGATCTGGAGCTGTAGTTGGAGTCTGAGAACTGAAAAACGTGTGTCGCTGTTCCCTTCAAGGTGCTTGGAGGCCCCTCCATGGGTGGTGTTGTACAACACCAGTGGCAACATTGTACTATGGAACTCATTGTGTTCACATGAAGAAATGAACTACATTTTATTGAGGAGGTAAAGGTAGTTGTTGCTTTTGAGCAAATTCCTTGTGAGCATCCTGTCCTCTCTATTATGAGGCTCCCAGAGAGCCCTGCATAATAGGATTTCTTGCCAGCCATTACCTATTCACACCAGAGGTAGGAGTAGCAGATGCTTACGACGAGAGGGGTTATTTTAGTGACTGAGTGGATTGACAAATCACTCTGGGCAGCCACTTTAATGAAATAAGTTCCTGCATTAAATGACACACACCTGCACTTAAAACCTGGTTAAAACTTCCTTCACTTGCTTTGGTATGGCCGAGTTTTTCAATGTAACTGAGTAGCTTCACTGCTCGTGGTTCTGAAACAATTTTTCTTTCAACAGGCAACTGATAGGAAATAACATTTCTGCCATCATCTATTTTGATGCTACAGAGAGATTTATGGGTTTCAAAACTCTTTTCACACATATCTTAGTTTTCTTCCTGAGAGTTTTGTAAACTTTGTAAAGAAGGTGGCTATCCCCACATTTTATATGCTTGGAATCCTTTGCTGGAATCTACAAACCTGTACTTTGATTGGAATTTCTTTCATCTTGACAGATGTCCCTTAAAACAACTATTTTTTACATATGTAAACAAAGTTAATTGTGGAAATTTCAAAAAGACAGATAAACAGTTCCCACACCCAGAAAGAACTACTGCTAGCATTTTGATTAATATTCCTTGATATAGATACATAGATAGATGGAAAGAAGATACATGATCTAATATTGTGTACACTGTTTTACAACCATATTTTTCACTTAGAAAATTATTAGATACTTTTTCTATGTTAGTAAATATATTTTCACAGCTTTTCAAAAGAGGTGAATACTATATGATTGTGGGTTTATACCATACTTTATATAACCAATTTTTGTTGCACATTTAGATGATTTCTTTTGTCTTTGTGATTATAAGCAATATTTTAATAAGAACTCTCATAGCTAAATGTTTATACATATTCCTATTTATTTCCTCAAGAAAACTTCTGAAAGAAAAATTTCTGGGTCACACAATTCAAGTTCTTTTGATCCATAGTCCACTTTGTATAGCTATTGGCACCTCATTTTCCTCAATACTCATACACTGTGAGTATTACTATTCAAAAAAAATTTTTTTTAATTTATGGGTACACAAAAATGAACTCAAAGTGGATGAAAGACCTAAATGTAAGACAGGAAGCAATCAAAATCCTAGAGGAGAAAGTAGGCAACAACCTCTTTGACCTTGGCCACAGCGACTTCTTATTTGTCATGTCTCAGGAGGCAAGGGAAACAAAAGCAAAAATGAATTATTGGGACCTCATCAAGATAAAAAGCTTCTGCACAGCAAAAGAAACAATCAGCAAAACTAAAAGGTAACTGACAGAATGGGAGAAGATACTTACAAATTACATATCAGATAAAGGGTTAGTATCCAAAATCTATAAAGATCTTATCAAACTCAACACCCAAAAAACAAATAATCCAGTGAAGAAATGGGCAAAATACATAAATAGACACTTCTCCAAAGAAGACATCCAGATGGCCAACTGACACATGAAAAAATGCTCAACATCACTCATCGTCAGGGAAATACAAATCAGAACCACAATGAAATACCACCTTACACCTGTCAGAATGGCTAACATTAACAACTCAGCCAACATCAGATGTTGGCAAGGATGCGGAGAAAGTGGAATACTTTTGCACTGGTGCAGTCACTCTGGAAAACAGTATGGAGTTTCCTCAAAAAATTAAAAATAGAACTACCATACAACCCATCAATTGCACTACTAGGTATTAAAGGGTACAAAAATGTTGATTCGAAGGGGCACATGCACCCCCATGTTTACAGCAGCACTATCCACAGTAGCCAAATTATGGAAAGAGCCCAAATGTCTATCGAGTGACAAATGGATAAATAAGATGTGGTATATATATACAATGGAATATTACTCGACAGTCGAAAAGAATGAAATCGTGTCATTTGCAATGACGTGGATGGAACTAGAGTGCATTATGCTAAGCAAAATAATTCAGTCAGAGAAAGGCAAACATCATGATTTCACTCATATATAGAATTTAAGAAACACAACAGATGAAGATAAGAGAAGGGAAGAAAAAATAATATAAAAACAGAAAGGGAGACAAACCATAAAAGGCTCTTAAATACAGAGAACAAACTGAGGGTGGCTGGCAGGATTTGGGGGTGGGAGATGAGCTAAATGGGCAATAGGCATTAAGGAAGACACTTGTTGGAATGAGCACTGGGTGTTTTATGTAAGTGATGAATCACTAAATTCTATTCCTGAAATCATTCTTACACTATATGTTAACTAACTTGGATTTAAATTTTAAAAATAATAATAAAATAAAATAAATAAAATTTATGGTTGGAAATAACATCTTGCCATTCTTATTTGCCTTTCTTACATTATTGGTGAGATTGGATATGTTTAAAGTATTTGAGGCCATTTGAATCTTTCTTTTCTTTACTTCCTTCTCATGATCTTTTATTACTTTCCTGTTTGAGAGTTTTGAAATCTAGGCCTTCTGTTTCTAAATTCAATGCTCTTTCTTCGATTACAAGGTATAGCTATTAAGACAATATGTATGTGTCCAGGAAGCGTCCTTCGGTTGTAAAAGTGGTTCTTGCCTTTTAGGTTCTTCTCCTTCAGGCTTCCAGTGCTGTTCCAATTCCAGCTATGATGACTCACTAGTACCTATGTTGCTTTATTACTTATATATTACTTCTTTCAATTCTTACAAGTGTCCTAAGAGGCAGATGGGGCAAACAATGGTGTCTGTATAACAGGTGAAACTGAGGCACGTTGAGGCTAATGGACTTACCCAAGATCACAAACAGGTACCTAAATCAAGGTAAATCTTTTTTTTAATTAAAAAAAAATTTTTTAATCTTTATTTTTGAGAGAGAGAGAGAGAGAGAGAGCGAGTGGGGGAGGGGCAGAGACAGAAGGAAACAGAATCTGAAACAGGCTCCAGGCTCTGAGCTGTCAGCACAAAGCCCGACGCGGGGCTGAACTCACGAACCACGAGATCATGACCTGAGCCGAAGTCGGACACTTAACCGACTGAGCCACCAAGGTGCCCCAATCAAGGTAATCTTGAACCAGGATCTCTTAGGAATCTAGTGGGGAGGTGAAATAAGCAAATTACATGAATGCTTAATGACTAACAATACATTATCTTTCCCAGGGTTATTTGCATTAAACAGAGAGGAACATGAAGCAATCACTACTTAATGTGCCCTGTGAAGCCAGAGGAAGAACTATTTTAGGGTCTGGAGCCTGCCCACTGCTTAAATCACACTATGTAGATATCCACCTACTGCATCTATGCATGGTCCTGGCACTTCTGTCTCAATGTGGGTTGACTTGAGACACCAACAATGACAATCTGAATATATACAATATAATGCCCCAAACATGAAGAAAATAAAGGCTGTTTCTCTCTCTTTCTCACCCCTCTCTCTCTGTTCCCTCATTTTAAAACTGTCTTTTTTGAGCAGAAAACTGTCTTTCCATTTTCTTTACAACCTTACTCAGCACCTCTTTTCCTTTTCTTTTGAAGCTAGTGAGTTACTAAGTGTCCCTCAGAAATGGTCTCTAAGCACCCAGAAGAACAATAACCAGTTAGCTAGAAAGTCATGGAACACTGAGCAACAGGGACAGCATCTCTCTGCTGACCCACTGTCTGATGAATTCAGGTTTTAGTTTCTCACAGCTTGCCTGGCCCACAGACATTAAGTGGTAGACCCACCTTAGGCCCTTAGTGGACACCAAGCTTCATCAGAGCAGGTGGGGATATCTCTGAACACCACCCCTCTAGTACTATTATTGTGTGGTGACATTTCTCATTGTGCAAAACCACAAAGATATATCAAGACCCCTCAGGGGTCTAGTCCTCCCTCATTTTGGATGTCAGCCTTCAATTGCCATCTCTGCCTTTGTTTTCTCCTTGATAGGTTTCACCATAATGACTTTAAACATTTTATGAGAGGAGGCTTTGCAATATTTGGGGGCAGTATTTTTTGCAAAATATTTGGTAATATTTTGCTGGTATTCATTTAATAATAATTGAAGAGAATTGCTTTTTTCAGTGACCATCTAGTGCCTTATCTATATTTTCTTACTTAACTCTATACCATCTTTAGAAGAATATTCTAAAGTTCTTTTTGGTACTTTAAGTTTTGTGCAATTAACACACCAATGCTAGGAATCCTGAGGCTCAAAGTAGACTGGTAAAGCCTAGCATTATGAATTTTTTCTTCTTATGAAGATGTGAAGTTTGACATAATTTATAGTCAACTATAAATTGGCTGGTGATTACAGGAAGGAAGAAGATCACAGATAGATTCACACTTTAATACAGTTAAATTTTTTATTCAGTGGTGGATTAACCATGGTCAAGATAAGAAAGATCTGAGAACAATCTCATATCTCCAGGGGGAAATAATCAGGCAGGAGATAATCACTACTAATTGATACCTCCCACTGATGTGTGTGTGTGTGTGTGTGTGTGTGTGTGTGTGTGTAGCAATAGGGATATCATGCTCTCTGTATGGGTTAGGATCCATCTTAACTCATCCTGGACCTTTTCATGGTCCACAGGTTTCTTCTCCATCAAATGGTGATAATAATCCTTGCTTTATAAACCAAATAGGGTGGAAATCAACAGTAAAATGGAAGGAATTTGACAAGAAGACAGACAGTGCTATACAAATGTAAAGGATTTTGATTTCCTGCTGTTTATTGTAGCAAAGGGCTCACATAGGGATCCAGAGCACATGGTCGGCAGGTCCACGAGAGCTGGATAACTAAGACATCAGGAAGGGTAGCTGCAAGGCCCCATTCTGAAGTGCTTACATCTTTGAAGAAAACTTTTCAGAAGTTGAATGACAGGTGTCTGAGAATCAATTTTTTGATACACAACCTTTTTCAGTATGAAAGGAGCCTACATAATTTGTTTCAGAGAAATACATGTCCCAGCCACAAGAGTCAGCTCTCAGAGTGTCTTGGGCGGTTTCACATCTGTGCACATGGGCGGCAGAGCTGCCCACATGAGCAGAAAGGGCACTAGCCTCATGGCAGGCAGCTGTTCCTGCTGGAGCCAGAACTATACTTTCCTCTCATTTTGTCAGAAACAAAGTGTTATTTTGGTAACTCTTTATTTTCCACACTGCAGCTTCCCATGTAATTATTGAATACAATTAGATATTCCATGCTGCGTAATTACTCAGTTATCTGTGCCTCTGAAAGATATGAGAATAAATGATCATGAAAGTCCATAGTGAAGAGCCTCCATCCAAAGAATAAGAATGGGCTATCTACCTGACAATGTGTCTGAATCAGAAAAAAATAAAACTTGAACATTTTGGGTTTTTCCTCCATCTGCTATACTCACAGACAAAATTTTGCATTAGAAAGCAGAACAAACTGGCTTGGTTGACTTTTCTTCATCATCTTAAGCTATGGCTTCCTATTCTGGTTTTTGTAGACATCTAAATAAAACTTGTACATGGCATGAAAAAAGGAGTGACAGATCAGAGTCCAAAGATGTTCCATAAATCCAGCTTAACTAATTCACAGGGTAGCTGAAAGGTCCTGCTATCTCTACATCAAATTCATTCTTTTGCACAAAGAAGAAAAAAATAGCAAGGTGTATTAAAGTAGAGAAAGGGCTTTGCTTTTTGTACACATCTGTATTAACCAAGATTCTTTTGATTGCAAGTGACAGAAACCCAATTCCAGCCAGCTGCAAACAAGGGATTTAGTAACATGATACTGGAATAAAACATTGCAGGAATATGCAAAACTCAGACTGGAACTGAAGACTTGATACCAAGACTTTGCCTTCTTCTATTCATCTCTTTGTTTTTCTGTCTTGGCTTTATTCTCTTGCATTATCAGAAAAGTTTTGGCAGTGATCATGCTACTACTGGAAACTCTGGGATCACAACTCTGAAACTTATGTAAAAGTGAAAAAGGGAGTCTTTCATGTCAGTTCTATTAAGAAAAAGCAACAAGGGCACCTGGGTGGTGGTTGGTTAAGTGTCTGACTTCAGCTCCGGTCATGATCTTGCAGTTGGTGAGATCAAGCCCTGCATTTGGCTCTCCGCTGTCAGTGTAGAACCTGCTTTGGATCCTCTGTCTCCCTCTCTCTCTGCCCCTTCCTCTCTCTCTCTCTCTATCAAAAATAAATAAACATTTAAAAAATTAAAAAAGAAAAAAACAATAGTGAAGTACTCTGATTGACTTAGATTGGGTCAAGTACCTTTCCCTGGACCAATTTCTGGCTTAAGGAGTAGGTTAAAGCATTAAGACTGGCCTGGCTTGAGTCATATACCCAAACCTGTGCAGGGAACAAGGTTTATAACCAGAAGAAGGTGGGGTCTGAGACAGGAGAAAGCATACGGGAGAGAGGACAATAGTAGCACCAAAGCATCAAAATATGCATTTGTGCAAACTCAGGGAGCATCTTCAGGACCCAAGCCAATAACCCAAAGTACACTGAAGTGAGGTCATTTTATGTATGATCTTAGAATTAAGTTTTCTAATGGAACTTGTACTTTCTCTCATGACCTGGAACCTAGTGAGGCCACAAAGAAATGTATAAGAATTTCAGGCAGAATTATTTTCAAAAGATAGACAACATCAAAACCTTAGATATGTTGGCAGTGAATGGTGATGGTAAGGACAGGCAAAGCCTCAGGTAACTAGTGGTAAGAATCATTGTTTTATTGGGTTCAAGCCAACCAAGGCAGCAGTGAAAGAATATTGGCTATTTCCCCCCACTCAGATAGAAATCTCAGTGATGACAAAGTCCATGTCTTTTTCTTGCCTCATTTAAAGATAATTTCTGAAAGGAACTTTATCTCTTTATCTAGGTAGATAGACAAAATTGCCCAATGATGCTCTGTTCTAACACTGTCACAAATCAAGTAGAGAACATTGGGTATTTCCATTGTACCATAAACTTCACATTGCTTAATTTGATCCATGAATATTCTCAGTATCTTAGCTCAGTTTCCCCTGAGCAAAGCTTGTGACAAAGCTGAAGGACTAACTCTTTATTAGAGAATAAAATCCCAAGAAGCAGGAGTGAGGGACAAAGGTAATGAGGCAGAGGAGAGAAAGCAAGTATTAGGGTGTCTTGATAAAACTGGCCACCACTTACTAAGTGTAAATGGTTTCTCTATCTCATGGGGCCATCTTCTACAATGCTAAACAAAAAGATGCTTCTTAATCCACCTGGCTGAGTAAGGGAGAATTTCTGCCAGATCCCATCTCCCATCAGTCCAATGTTTGACCAATAGGGCTTGAATGCCCTTGTACTTTCAGTGTGGGTGTTCTTACCTCAATGCTAAGTGGAGAAGTCCCAGGACAAGAGGCTGATGGTAGGCAGTGCAGTCCTGAGGCAAGGCACTGTCCATGTGAGGCTGAGGCTGAGTTTGGCTCAGTTGGTCATCACAGTGTTGGTTGGCTTGGCCTAGAACAAGTGGCCCAAGGCGCTGTGGCACATGAGGCCCAGAAGAGAAGACTCTATTTCACCCAGAATTAGAATTTCAAAACTAGAATAAACCTTAGAGGTACTTTTCCCATTAGCAAATTAAAAGACAGAGTTTAAGGGACTTGCTAAATAAACTCACAACCAGTTGTTCCAGTTAGTGACAGAGCCTAGAACCTGCCCCACACCCAACTCTTTCTATTCCTCGCTTCTCCATGGCTTTCTAACAGGAGCTCCCCATTTGTGGCAAAATTTCCCAAGTGCCTTGTGAGGTGAGAAGCAAGTCAACACTTTCTAAATATTCATGAGCTATTTAACAGTTCAATTTTGGTGGGTAGCAATATGTCTATCAGGATCTATTTATTCTCATTACTTCAGTGCTGTTCTGGCACGATGCATTATAAACAATTTATGATGTGTTGACAGGACAAATGAATGCTAGGATAATAGGCTGAAGAGAAGAAAATCTCACCGTTGCAAACAAAATGCAGAGATGTGACTCAGAAGGCTGATGAGAAAGATTTTGATGGTTTGTGTGCTTGGCCATTTATGTGCTAGCCTGCAGTCCTGCTAGTTTTGTGCCACAGCAGTTGTGGGTCTACCTTAGTCTCTGTTTGCATTGGGTATCTTTGTCATGGAACTTGTAGAATCTCTGCATCCCAAAAGGAGGGTATCATGGCTGGGGAGGCCTATAGCCTGTGAGCAGGAATATCCCTGAATTCCTGATGCCTCAGTAACTTTTGGATGGGAATATCACCTTACTCAGCCAATCCAAAAGTCATCAGGCTCAAGTTTTGGGTGAAGATTAAGTTTACAAAAGTCAAGTCCATTTAGTAGCTCAGGCTAAGTAGTCTAATAATTTAGAGCTGCTGTTTTGACAAGAACAGAACAGAGGATTCTCTTAAATGCTGAATATTTCTTTGCCATTCAAAGCAGTAGTCTATGAAAGAGGTTAGAGTGGGAGAGCCAAAGCATAAGAGACTGTTAAAAACTGAGAACAAACTGAAGGTTGATGGGGAGTGGGAGGGAGGGGAGGGTGGGTGATGGGTATTGAGGAGGGCACCTTTTGGGATGAGCACTGGGTGTTGTATGGAAACCAATTTGACAATAAATTTCATATATTAAAAAAAAAAAAAAGCAGTAGTCTATGTTTACAACTCACCCAGAGATAGGACAGGACTCTGCTTTCATGTCTCCCCCACATACCTCTCCTATAAAAAGCCCCAAACACATAAACAAAAACCATGTTAAGCTTTTTCCCCTCAAGATACACATTTTGGGAAAAAATATTTGTTAAGTACCTGTTAGCTATTATCCACATTTTTCAGAAGAGACAAAAGAGGTAAAAAGGGGTTAAGAAATTTGTTCCAGAAGACAGAAATGGCATGTAGTAGAGCCAGAAATCTAGTCTGATTGGTGAGCTCTTGCCGTCTGTGCTGTGAACATTATCATGCCTTCAAGTGGCCTTGAGAAATGGTGCTTGCTTCTCAGTGTCTGATATTTCTCATCTATAAAATGTGGGTTTAGATAAATTGCCTACATGCCTTAAAGGCAGGATCTGAGGGTAAAATAAATGGATAAAGCTAAAAGCACATTGAAAAAAGTTAAAAGACATGGGGAAAACAAAGGAAGGGTTTTCTCCCTTTGTCTTGTTGTTGTTAGTTTATTTCCTTCCAGAGTCTTGAGTATCTTTTGGATGGTCTCAACAAGCTGTCCCTCCTATCTACCATGGAGGCAAACTGCAGTGTTCTAAAAAGCACATTTATGCATATCCTTCCCACCTGATCCTCCAAATTTTGAGAGCGGGGATGATGCCACTTTATTTCTGATAAAGCAAGTCTCCCATGGACTGATTTGCCCAGAGCTGGTGAATGATATGCCCAACATTGCACAGTGCTGGGGACAGAGCAGAGCCCTCCTCTGCTGCCTGGGTGTTCTATTCACACACCACCAGGCTCATTGTGCCTATACTAAGTTTTGGCATAAAGAAATCTTGAAATCAGAGCTGGCAGTGTGTGCTGGGCAGGTTCCTAGAGCTTACAGTGAGGCAAAGAGGATTCTGGAGATGTCCTTGTTCACTTTCAGTTCTTCCTGCCCTTCTGAGCTGCCATGCACCTCTCTGAAGTACCTTTACATCCTCTCAGACCTGGGTTCTGATCCCCTCTTTTGTCCTCAGGCCAAGTCTAGAGGGATATGAGGCAAGAGGGCGGGAGAGATGACAGCAAGACCACGTTGCTATCCCAACATTTGCTTGACTTAATTATCATGCCTTGTAGCTGCAACTATTTTTAACTCTTGGTATTTATGTTGTATAAATCAATGAGTGCCTTTTAAGTGGCACAATGGGAGACTTAGAAGAGCTCGCCTGCTCATGTGCACCTCTCATGTGTTGAGAGTTGCTCCAGCTGCGTGATGGATAGATGGGGTTCATTAGATCAGCGGCCTGTACACTTCCTGTTAAAGCCAGATAGTAAATATTGCAGGCTTTCAGGACTCCAGTCTTGGTTGCAACTACCCAGCACTGCTCTTGTAGCAGGGAAGCAATCATGGACAGTGTGTAAATGTGGCTGCATTCCAATAAAACTTTACCAAAGCAGGTGGCAGGCCAGATTTGGTCTGTGAGACAAAATTTGTCAATCCATGCTTTATTCCATCTAGTTTAGTAGACGTTTTAAATCTGTGGTAAAACGTGAAAATATTTGTGCCTGAAGTTAGAAGTGATCATTTCTTAAAGTGAAACCATAGTTAACAAAATTCTTACCCTCTGTTGCTGTATGCAGAACACAGGTCACCTAATAGTAAACACATTTTGCTAAAATTAAGCTTTTTTCATATGAATGAAGTAGAATGTCATCAATTGTCTTAAATATGTTGGTGACAGCTACATAGTCTCTCTGCAAACTTCGGGATAAAAACAAATCTAATTTTGTCTAAATTATTTAGACTGGCTGGTGAGGCTCAGCTGGGGAGTTGGGTGTCAAATATGGCAGAAGTCTTTTTACTTTCCAAAGTCAATAATCTATAAACTCCAGCTGTGTGGCTTATGCCGCGGGCTGGGCAGGTGCAATTTAGGAAGCGACAGTCTTGCTCTCAGGCAGCAATTGTTTCTGACGCTCACTAAAGCCAATTCTAACTCCTCTGCTGCTATCACTTCTGTTTCCATGGAAATGGACACGAGCTCGACTAAAACAAGGTAACTGAGGTTTTAAAACAATGATTATTTGGACTCTTCAGTTTCTATGGAAATCACAGTTTGCAGTCAAGGATCACTATTTAGATCATGAATTTTTTCATCCCTGACATAGGATACCAAACTTTGTGCAACAGTCTCATCTGTAAAATGGAC